CTTTTAAGGTAGATCTAGACAGTAGATTTAGCCCAGTCAACATCATTTTATTTATATATTTGATTAAACTAAAGGCGAGTGTTATTCAATTGTTTTTTTGAAAACAAAACCCTATTGTACATTGATTTAATGATAAGCGACTAACATAATTTGCCGTTTGAAGCAAGATGTGTGCCTATTTGTGGGATAAATTGATTGCCCAAATAATTCGTTGATCTTATGCATCTTGTCATATTCCTCCAGCGTTATCTGCACTAAGGAAATCGAATGGATATGCCTCGGTTATTAGTACTTCCTGATCCAACTTTTATCAAGTCCTTTTGCTGCAATAAAGGTCATCTTTCGACCTTATGGGAATTTCATCTCTACACGCATAAATCAAAGGTAAATTTGATATACTGGTGAGCTAGCTTATCCAACTTATTTCTACTCAAATTGAAGTGAAATTGAACCGTGTGATTATGGCATGTCAATTCACTATGTGAACCTAACTACCGCCTTTACCTGCAACTACAAAGGAATCTTTAAGTTCAACACACGTGCTAAATTGAATATAATCATGAAATGACTCAAACGTCAGGTGATTAATCCCTTAACTAAAGGGACTTCCAAAACACGAATAGTTCTACTTCCATACTAAAAAACCTCCCTATATTGACTCATGTTCCATTAAACTTTATTTTTTTAATTTATCAAGAAGGCATAATGAGCATATCTGATTAGAACATTAACTAGAATACACACAAATCCACTGACAACAGATGAACCAATCAACGGAATACTTGTTAATTCAAGGTTCGAGTTGCAAGAAAGGCATGACTTGAGGAATCAAAATAATCTCAGTTTGAACACTACTAATGTGCGATTTCTGTAGTGTTATAGGATAAATCCTCTTTAGTCTACGAGTGTCAAATAAATATTGCCAACTGTTCACTTAAGTTACACGATTTCAACTTATTATCGAGGTTTGTTTTTAATACCTCTATCATCGTAGTTATTTGAGTTGAAGTGAATTTGCCTCGAATTAATGCATATTGTAGAGAGGATAAAGCATTCGGCACTTTCATAATCCATTGCAAAGTCCACTCCTTGAATGACCAACTTGAACTAAAGCCATCAAAGTTGTGTCTGTCACTTGATCGAGTGTTAGCTGCGTTTGCCAAGGTGCGACTTTTATGTCCCTGTGCCAGTTAATAACTGGGCTATGTGGCTTCTAGCTGTCGAAAGTCAGTCTAGAAACAAGTCCTGGCACTTTAGCAGAAATTGGCACGAAGTATTAATGAATTTGGATTGTCCCCGAGAGTGGGAGTTATTTCTGAGGTAAGGACAGAAACATGAAGTAGTGCGGAAGCAACGCAATGGATTTTCATTCTGCTGTCGGAGTCGCTTTTCAGTGGTATGGATACACAATCTGTAGATTCGGATATTTTCTACTTCGAACCATCATGGTTCTACAATTTTATGAATTCTTTATGTTTTTTGAATTCTTGCAAATTGGCTTGAGAAACGTTCTCCGAAAGGTCTCACTGATATCCTCTTTAATGAGATTGTTTTACTCTTAGTACTAGGAAGATTAAGGGCATTTAAAATAGAATGGCGGTCGAATTTATCATTTATGCCAGAAATATTACGCACTTCTTCTCGATATGTTTACTGAAAAGTTATTTTGTGATTCAAAATCGTTTCCCTTACGAAAGTGTAGGACGATGACCCATGTGAATGGCTACTATTTCAATGATCACTTCGAATGTCAACTATTTTTTTTTGAAAGTCTTTGAAAAGTGCGCCCAATCAATATTTGTTGTTCACTCTTCAGATTGGTTTTAAAGCAGTGATTGAATCATATCAGGGATGAACTTGATAATGAACGCAAGAAATTTGTCACCATTGTGAGAATGGAATGAAGAACCGGACTTCTGATTAAGGGAGCTCTGCTTGTCGAATTTCTCGTAGAACTGCTTCCCAGAGTGTGTACTCTTTCTGTAAACCTCTAACTAAAGGATATATCTCTAATGATGTGCACTTTATCCTCTTCTGTTCTTATGAATATTGCAAGAGTGATTTGTGCAGTAACTAGGATATAGGGAAGCAATGTACCAGTCTACACCAGAATTCAATAAGATGGAAGCCCTCAAGAAAGTGAAGCCAACTGTAAACAAATATGCCAAGAAAGATACATACTGAAGATTCCCTAAATATGAATGGCAAGGAGGCAAGGTAAAGGCAACGTACTTAAATAGCTCCACCAACAGGCATTAAATTGAAGTTGGAATGAAAGCCAGAGCTCTCGAGAGACAGAGAATTACTATTTCCTTACGAAGAAAATAGTGAATGCCGTGTTCCACTCTAGGCATCCGAAGAAAAGCCTTGAATCAAGAGGAAAAATAATGACTAAGATTCTTGGAAAATTGAAGGAAGCTAAAAAGGATGCTCTGAAAGCCGTGCTTGATGATATTATAAATGGAAACTAAAAGCAGACGAAATTTTCATAACTCAGTTGAATACTCTTTATGGTTTGGTTCAGGTCACCATGGAAACAAATTTAAAGCAAACCGAAACGATTCAATTGAATAAATATTTATAATTAATAAATATTTTTTCTTAATGAACTTAATACTTAATACTCCATAGTTCTTCACATTCCTATTAAAATTCTGACTAGCCATTAAATTGCTTATTTGAGCTGCTATGAATTACGCAGTACGATACATAATTTGAACTTAAATGTGATGAGTTTTCGCATTTTTCCTTCTTTCTGGCATTTGGAACAGCTTGTGAATGGTAAAATATTTATAAGTCACCGTTTATCATTTATTAACCATTAATAAGTTAATGATCTCAAATTCATTGCGTTCCAACTATATGAAGAATTCTTTCCTGAAAATCAGCGAGGGAGAGGAGAAGAAAGCACTGCAATGTGATTCTGGGATTATTTGATCTGACTGAAAGTCGCACACTTGTTTGCCACTGGATGTGAATATTTCCCACTGACTAATATTTCCAATTTAAAGATGAAAAAATTTGATTGAGTTTGATATCTTTTAGTAAGTTTACGCGTAAAATGAACTTGTAACTTTGTAGTTTATTGAAAATCTATGAAAGCTATCGGTAGACTAACTCATTGATTTTCGATAAATATCGAACAATTCCGTGACAAATTACCCTCGGCTATGATTTAGACGGTATTTTATCATTTTACTGCTTTTTCAAACTAAAAATGCTCAGGTGAAAATTTTATTAACACAGAAATTTATTATTTTTTCATTTGTTTCTAAAATCAGACAGTTGAATTAAAAATGTTATTTCTCAAAGTTAAAGCTGGAGTGTTCAATTAGTTTTTATCTTAATATGAATTATTTTATCCCCATTATTTAAGTAACTTCATGGCAGTTAGGAAACTGATCAAGTTTTGAAAAAGTCGAATTTAATTTTTTTGCAATTTATTTGAATTCCCTCTGAGGACAACGTGTTACTTTCTTCCCTTTTAATCGGTAAACTTGAATCGAGATTTTCAATCAATTTCTTCTTTCAGCTGTTGACTCCGCCACTCTCGTAGATTTATTGCCGGACCCCACACGGAACATCCACGAACAATATCTGGCTCCTGCTGTTGGTGATCTTCCAGAAGCCGTTCCTCTCTCAATGGGACTCCGTTTTTCGGCTGAGCGACACACTGGCTGGCGTCTGGACACTGAGAAACTCTTAAAAGCAGCAATTGCTAATAACCTTGGCAGTGAGAAAGTACTCCCTAGAAACATCTTTGAGCGTGACTTTACTCTTTCCTTCTGGCTTCAAAGAGAACCTAAAGAAAATGATGAACACGAGACCATCCTTTGCAGTCAAGAAGATACTGGTAGGTGATCTTGATATACTGAGTATTTTTAAGTTCAAAGGAAATGGACAAAAAACGTAGCTAGTCTTTTTCAAAGTATAGATCAAATTCTTTGGTGTGACGTATATACTGAACTATTGAATAAACAGATATCACAGTCTCCAGTTCCATTTTGCCTTATCAAGTGAACTTCTCAATCTTGAAAATGCACACATATATTATGATTTTAATTTTAAATGATAGAAAGTTGCAACATTCTACAGATGGTTTCTTTTCTTATTTAATCTCACGTGCTATGAAATCTGTTTAATCATTTCAAGGAATGGATATGTATTGCCAAATATTAGCGATTTGTAGATGCCTAATAGAATGACAAAACTGATACGTTTCTCTTGATATATGGGAGCCAGAATCGTTGGAACTGCGTTGGTTGATTTTTTTCGGCCGTGAGACAGCAACGGATATTTCTAGCTGATGAATTTTAATCAAAATAAAAATCAGAATTTTTTCGATTAAAGTGCCAAATTCAAGTGGCCTTTCTGAAGTCTCGGAAAATGAAATTTTTTAACCTTCATTTTCTCAATTTTACGCTCCTGCAAAGTTATTTTTGATTGAAATACACCATCACTCCAAATATTTTTTTGCAATTATAGCTGTTCTGACTTGATAAAAGTTTATTTTATTTATCAAAATGCCAAATAATTTTTTTTAAAATCTGCGTTAGTATTTCAATCATTTAATTTTGTCAATGGTATAGAAAAAGTGAAATAAAAACTGCCCATGAACCTTTTATATTTATTGAGAAGACTTTGTTTATCTTCTCCCTCCCCTATTCTGTCCTTTTGTTTTAAATGTCATAGGCATTTAATCAGCTTTGAATTTTTATGACGCTGTTTAGCGCGTTCTTATTGAGAATTAGGTATTCAATAATTTCAGTGATCTTTTGAAGGAGAATAAAAACGTGTTTCTTCAACTGAAATTTGATTGCTCTCACGTAGGAAATCTCATAAATTTAATTAATCATGTAATAGTACTTTTCAGTAATTTCTCCCGATGCTTCGAGCACCAGGAAAGGCAACGGAAAAGGGCGTTACCAAGGTTAATATTACAGAAGTATGAGATAGATATTTCCGTTTGAATGAAATGAATCACATATCCTCCTGGGTTTTTAGTAAAAGTTCCCTCACTGAGAGTATAATGATATTATGAAATGAGCTTATTTCTCTCATTGTTTTGTTGTACTATTGGGTGGAAGGAAAAATGAAGGAAAATGTACTGTGAGAACTGCTGTTTATCCAATTAATATGAAGGAATTTTGTTGTAACTTAATCAGTAAAAATCGATAAAATCACTCTGTCGCAATCTTTTAGATATCGACTTTTCACTAACGCAGTTCTGACTAAATGCATTAGACAAGAACTCATAGGTGGATTATTTCAATGGGCGGAGAAAAAATATGGGCTTTAAGTCATATACCTTGGTGGAGAAGTCAGAGGTACTCCACTACCTTTTTCTTTAAATCAGGTGCGCATTTTCACTATTTGCCTGCCTAACATGTGAAGACTGTGCGCGCTAATCATGCGTGAGTAAAAACTGCTCTCTGTGTGTGTGCGAACTACCTCCGATGGTTCTCATATGGCACGAAGCCAGATTTGAGTTTTGTGCTCAGGCCTCCTCTTTCTTACCAAGTTTCACAATGTGAACATGCTAGTATACCTCTGTTACTCTAACAATTTGTTTTTAAGCTCAGCTTTGCTGTTTTTTTTAAAATGTCATCATAAATTGCTGTAGTGCGTCTTAACAAAGATTTCCCATGAGGAAACGGGTTGTGGGGACTAATGTTCGCGAATATAAATTAGCCCGAACTATGAAAATTTACTGGGATGATATAATTTGCGATCATTTCGAATCCTATACACTTTGATCATAGAGTTTTTTCAAGATAAAAACTAATGATGTTAAAATTATCGTTATTGAGTGAATTTTGCAGCCAGAACTAACCCAAGAACCCCAGCAATCACAACTACGCAATTTGAAATAAATTTATTTGATGCAGTTGGCTTAAGAATAAGTTAAAGTCTTACCCCCCCCCCCCCCCTCCTCCATATATTTAAGCCCACTATTTCTTACCATCATCATACTCAATTTTAAAATGTTAACGAGTATATGACTTGGTGTGGTTGTTGATGGATTTATTGAAATGTGTAAAAGCTATTTTACTAATTTTGATGTGTGTGTGTGTGTGTTTGATTACCAATCAACCTTTGGATCCTTATTTTCTTATGAACCTCATCCTCATCGAGCTAAATTCACTTTACTGAATGAAACACCTGAAGCGCCTGTTAGAACGTGGGAGAAAAATGAGCACAAGCAGTTGATTTATCTTGAAAGCAATACGCGTTCTCTCAAATTTTTTCAAGTTCATAGATCATAACAACTTCTATTTTTTTATGCGTTATCGTTGCGTCAAGAAAAGACTTCAAATGTATCTGTTTTAGCATATTTTTTCAAAACTTTTTTTTCTGAACGTTTTTAATAAGAACAAAACATTTGTAATTAATGTAGTTAAGGCCTATGTATATCTAATTTATTCATTTGATTAGAAGAAATGGTTGAATTTTTGCTCAAGTTATTAAACATTGTATGAGTTCTTACCCCAGGCGAAAACGTAGAAATTCGTTTTGAAATTTACAGCATGACACAGTGATCTACACATGCACGCGCACAAAGTCAATAGTGAACAATATATTGAATTAAGGATTCAACAAAAGCAAAGTTCGATTTCGTATTCCATTATATATATTTATTAAAATTTTTAGTGTTTCATTCCAATTGTTATGGATAGGGCAATCTTCAATGCGCCATTCTATTTTAAATTCGTCCTAATTAATAAAGCTAATTGAAGAGTACGAATAAATCAGTTTTCGATAACCATTCGTAGAGTCAACGACTTTCTTGAAACTAATTGACTGCAAGAGCTTTTCCCGATTGAGAAGACTAAATATTTGGCTGTAAAAATATGTTAGGGACAAAGTATAGATGAATCAAAGTGAGGAGAGGGATGGTTGGATCAGAAGGAAGACGTAAGTACTAATCAGGGAGTAATCCATCTCATGATGACCAGGCGAAGTGTTGTACGTTAAGGCGTCTGACCGATTTCGCGTTCTCTTTTTTGTCTTAATGGGCTAAGCAAGCCTAGTGACAGAGATTGAATTCTCAAAAATTCGATCGAATATTTTATAATAAGCTGTAATATGACCTTCTTAAAATGGAGCTTTGCATTAATTAGTAGTATCTATAGTGCTTATTTATATCAAACAATTTAGCTTATGAAAGGGGAAGTGAAGGAATAATAGCATTGGTCTGGAACACCGTGTCGACGAGACTCCGCTTTGACCCCTAATGACCTACTCATTCATTAATCATTAGTTCAATGTAATTGTCTTTAGTTGGGTTTAGTTACGTAGAAGTAATACTTTGCCTTTTCTCTATGGCAGTATAACGATATTTGTAGGCAAACTATCATCATTATAACAAGTAAATTCGGACTTGAGATGATGAAAAGTATGTAAGCTATAGCAAATTTTTTCTTAAAATACCCATTTAAAAGTTGGCAGAGACGTGTGTCTGATTAAAAGATGTTCATCGAAAGCTTCGTATAATTCGAGAACGCTTTTAACGTCCTTTGATTCACCAAGTGGACACCAAAATAGCTTTTAAATTAGTTGATTTCGTGACGAACGCTTTGCTTAAAGTGATAACACAAATTTAATCTCCTTGCTATGTTCTAGATTTCATTCCTGTATGTCTAAGAGACAGAAAAGAAATAAATAAAATAGGAGCATTAGTAAAGTGTCTCATAGGTACATGGAGTTACTGTTAGATTAGTACCTATGCCCACACAGATGAGAGATATAAACTGTTATCGGTTATAACAAGTTTCATTTGGGGTGGGGGGTGGGGGGGGGGGGTTACGGGAGAGAAGATGGAAAGTTTTTGTTATCGCTAAGGGGTGACTACCTGAAGGCCTTGTTCAATTTCCAAGTTAAGAACTTGCAATTCTTAGCTAATAATGTGGCAGATTATCTGTAGATTGGCTTCCAGAACGCTTACGTAGCACTGCATGTCTTTTTTCCTTTCATAACTCCACCGTAAATGAAAGGCCCCTAAGCGAGTCTATTTATTCTAGGTGAGCTACCTTGTATACTAGCATAAAAGTTGAAATATGTCAATCTTCTAGTTCAATAGATAATACTAAGTAGCCTTTTCAAGGTATAATACATCTCACTTTTTAAATAAAATTGGTAAAGGAATAAAATGTTTCCCCTGTTGTATTAGGCATTTCGCTGCGCGTTAATATGTCTATTTGTTTATTGCATTCTAATTGGATCTGCACTTCTTATTTCAATTTCAGGAACCGTAAGCCGAGCTATGTGGATTAGCTTAAAGAGCTGCCGTGTGATGGTGCAGATGACCACTCGTAATCCCGATGCCAAGAATCCTTTAATGGAGAGGGCTTTCAGCACCTACTTCTTCCCTGTACTTCCTGCCTCTGTGTGCCAGAATGGAACTCAATATGGTGCTTCTGTGGATAAAGGTGATCCCTTGGCCTGGCATCACTACTCCATCAGTATTACCTTTGAAGCTGATTCCATGGATATCAGCTCTAGCAGCCTGTTGGTGGACGGCGAGTTGGTTGGAACATTAGAATCCTTCTCAAAACCAATCTACTTTGAAAGACTCTCAAAGGATTCCTTTCCACAGTTGTGAGTCTTTCAAACCCTTCTGCAATTTGATAACAGTTTTTTCGCACCACCATCTTTATCATTAAGCTCCTTTTTCATTAGCTATTTAGATAATCAAACTGTGGCTTCCTTTAAACCGATCTTTAAAATTGAATTAAACACCCGTTTTGGTTTGGCGAATTAAAAGCAAACCAAAAACTGAGGAGAAATGATGTTTTTTGTTAGAAATTTTAGTTTTACATAATTTCTGAACGAATTATAAATTGGATTTGGAAGTGAAGATTGTTGTTTTCATCTATAGACAGGGCCTGTTGCTTAACTCACGTTAAAATGCCCATTTTCAGGCATTTGTTAATAATATAAACTTTTAATGTCGCCATTTTATTTACTATCAAATTTCCAATGTAATATGAAAGCCAGTGTGGTTCTAAGTTTTTTTATTTTTCAACCTATTTAGTATATCAATCGAATCCCCCTTACCCATTCGTCTAGGACTTAAAAAGTAATTGATAACCAGAGTGAGGAAAGATTGGACATTCGAGTGTTCAGAGTTCAACTTTCTACAAGAATGCGTCCCACCCCTTCCCACCAATAGCTCACTTTCTAAGTCATTTTCAGTTGTAATTTTAGGTACTGCCTTACTGTTGCCAATAGTTCAATACCAATTAGTGGACATTGAGCAATCTTAATTAGTTCAAGATTTAAGGCGTTTGTGCCTCCTTTAATCAAGCATCTCAACTAAAATAGTCACTTAGTCGTATTCAATGGGAAAAATGTTGATATTGGAAGAAGGACTGAAATCTACAAAGATTTAACTAGTTATATGAAGAAACTATCTTGTTGAATGCCTGCTGAAGTCTTTGTTCTCTCTCTCTATTAGTATTACTGTCGGTACCTGCTATGACCCAAACATTCCCTCCGCGCAGCAATCCCTCAACGGTGCTCTTGCTGGAATGACCCTACTTTTGGGCAGAAATGAAGATCAGAGCGTCTCTAGATGTCTTGCCGAATGTGGGGAAACTCTTCTTATTCCAAGAGCTAACAGAGTAAGCAGTTTATGCATACTTATATTTACGTAAAAGTTTATCCGTTAACATGATTTATCATCAATCTGTCCATATGAATTAATCACAGATAGTAAATCAGCTACTTCATTTCAAGAATGACTGGCCGGTTAAATTCGATGCCTCTCTCAATAAAACGATCGTTTTTCGAGGAAATAAGTATAATTAAAGTACAAATATGGCTAATTATAAATTGGTCGTCCAAATTAAAATCCGCTCAAAATGAAAATCAAACCACAACCGATATCTCTTGAATGCGTACTTGTGTGCTAAATAACGTCTCTTCAATTTATTGACTTAATTAATATATTTCGTATTTATAAGTTAAGTGAATAAATTGGATTGTCTGTGTCATTTCACGGAAATTCGAATGATTCAGGGCTTTTCTGGACGTTCTTCTTCTTTTTTCTGTCCCACTGACTAGAGCGGTTGTGTAGGGCTTATACATTTTGACGTTTGAGAACAGAGTTCATGGGTTAAAATCCTAATCCAGGGCCTATATTGTCCTCATTTTAGGCGCATTTTAATGGACATGAGTGTTAGAAATTCCAATTTTGACAACTTCTTATGTGAAAAAAAGTTTTAAATATATTTCACCTGTTTACATTGAAAAAAATTTAACATCCACTTCGTATCAGGCAGTCCTAATCACAATTTCACAATTGGCTTTAGCAGATATATTTATCATAATAAGATATTATTTTCTCTGTTACCTAATTAGTATTATTAATGGTGTTGTCACGCAACTGTGTCCTGACCACCACAACTTCTCAATTATTAATTTCCGTAATAAGCAACCTTAACAACGCAATCATCTTGTCAAAATCGCTTCTTCCTGCATGTTAATGTTGCCATTGTCAGTCAGAAAGCATGGATGGAAAAATAGACTATCATTAAACAGACAGATTATATATTTATATCCATGCACATATAATTATCGCCACGTAGAATCCTCAGGCGTTAGAGAGTTCAAGAGTATAAAATTTAATGACAGAATAATATTTTAATTCAAATCCCATATGGGAAATTAATTTTAATAATCACCTCGCGTGGAGGGCTAATATTATCGAGTCTTTCCAGACTCGAAGCTCGAATTCTATCCCCCCCCCCTCCCCTCCCCTCCCTCCTCCCTCCACCACCTCTATTCCCTAAACTTAACCGTTAATTCTCTTTAATAACGTTTAATCATTATAATCTAGTTTTGCTTCCCACGTGTATGGGGAGGTGTTTACCACTCTCCTTTTGCGCTATGGGATATCTATTTGATTGCATAAGCATTCCAAAGAGTAAAGATGCCCTGGTGTAAGTAATGAACGAAGTGGCATATTATTAGGCTAGATGGTGGTATTTGTTTATGTCTGGCTTTACAGGTGGTTTTTAACCTTTGCAAACTATAATTACTTGTAGTCTGGGAGAAATTTATTGGGGCGAAGGGTAATCACGAAGGTGAACTCCCCTGGGGATTAATTGCGCGCAACGCATTCAAATATGAAAATCAATCTGCTTAAATTGGTTTCGGGAGTTGAATTATATACTTTTTCGCCTTCTGGAATTTTTTTATAATTCCCCGGTACTTCTTATCCTGTATTGCTGTCCAAATCCCAAAGCGCAATATCCAGTTGATTACTTCTAGTGAAAACAAAATGATTTCACTGTCAATTAACAGAGCTCGCCAGAGCTTGCCCTGATTGAACACAATTTAATTTATAGAGTAACTCTAAGAATCAGTATTAATCAATAGTTGTTATTATGCAATTGAGAGGCAATTTTTGACTCAAGTCCTCCGACTGGACTATTGAGCATAGTATTGATTTAACTACCGATTAACAAGTGCATACATTACCTATTCTTTCTTGCCGAGTCAGCTAAAGATGTTTTGAAATCGGTGAATTCCGCAGATCTGAGTACCGCGAGTGTAATCAACCAGAAAGGTGAGAAGGCTAAGTGTCTATATTTCAGGCTGCCGCTAATGACGATCTGGGTTGATCACATATCCAAACAAATATGTACCTTGAGTTCATGCATACTCACCGCTTCTCATTTTAATGCAAAATCTTTTGATCTGTAAAATAGACGACTTTCAAACGAATTACACATTAAGGCGCAGCAATTATACCATTAATAATTTAAGCGCTAGAAAGTGAGTTCATAAAACGATATTTAAATTTATTATGACATCATTTAGTCTTAACGAGTTAAAGTATTGACAATTGATTGTGTCGACCGTCCTGTTCAATTCGAACTTGTTTTTAGTGTTGTGCTTTCATCTCCCGGAGATCTAGATATTTTTAACAAAGCACTCATTCTTTCATGAAAATTGGTTTTCTCCGGAAATAAACAGCAAATTTAACAACAATCTTTTAAAGCAAAATAAAAACCTTTAAGACTTGAAGCGTACTTTTAGGGACATAATATTATTGCTAACAACGTTTTAATAAGGTCAAACCAATTCTCTGTCGTCTATCTTGAAACAACCTTCTACTTTGACATGAGGTGTATCTAGCTTTCTGCAATAATGTAACTGGGAATTATATATTTTAGCTTCCTGCAGATGATAAAGACAAATATGTTTCCAAGAGGTGGACATGCTTTGATAGGTTAATGGAAATTTTCTTGTTATGGTCACTAAAGAGTTTGCCTGAAATATCGATCTATGCAAATGACCAAAGCCAGATTAAAATACCTTCCAATCAGACTTAAAAGTGATTAAAGTGACCAAAGGATCAAATCTTAAAGTGAAAAATTCATTTTAATGCTGATCTTCAAATTAATCTTATCACTGACAAATAGTTGACTGTTAAGTATGCTGGTGAAATTTCTTTACAACAACTCAACATTTACTGAATTTAGACTCGCAACATTAAACTAATAATTGTAAATGAGTGTTATAGAATTACCGAAGTAACTTTGAGTAATATCTAATTTTAGTATATACCCATTGTTGGATATTATTTATTTATAAATTTTTTGATAACGTAGTTCCACTTCTTACGAAATAATTTCGCAAATTTTGCATTTTTTTGTTTAATTTTATTACTCAACATCGAGTAAGTTAACTAGCATAGCAATTATACACTGTGAATCTACGCAGTTATGATATGCGTTTTTATAAGCCGTGCGCATTATTAAAGTATAACTTATCACGTTTAGCCATTAAGTAATACCCAACTTGGAAATTTAATAGTCAGCTTTGGTCCACATTTGGAAGTTACATTCCGCATTAGTACTATTTCGTCTACTGACAATTGAATCCCTAAAAATAGTTATAGAAATAAAAAGTTTATTTGATCGGAAAGTAATATTTATAAGTCATACAGTGAAACAAATTGTAATGAATATAGTTAAAATTTAATGAATTATAATGAAGGAACACCTCCTTTACCTGCATTGAAGAAGCCAAACTATGTCATCAAGAATGAAATGATATGACCTTGTTTTTCTCTTCCCACAGCTTATTACAGATGACGTGACTGTGCTCCTCAATAATGATAAAATCGAAATTGAAACAGTGACCGCTGAAGAAGCTGCAGAAATGGTTGGCAACATTGCCTACATGAAACCAGTTTCGACAAGCACCCAACTCACCTACGAACCTGCCGGATCTAAGGATCGGGTTATTGAAATCGTAACTGTTGTTAGGTTAGTGCATGTTGAAACTTGTAAATGTCTCAGTGATTATTCCCTTACATCTGCGATTAATGAATGATTAATTCTAAAATCCTCTAATGTTCATCCAGGAATATATTGCGATGTTGTTTAAGGAGAGAGGAACCAAGTAGAGTTTGCTAAAGACATACTTTATTCGCAGCTTACAGTAAACACTTTGTGACTAGACTAATGTCGACAAAACTTTGGACAGATGCGTTCAACCATCTTTAAAAGGAAAGGAGAACTCCAGACCTACAAGTTGAATAAGACGATGCGTGCAGTCATTCAATCGAGCTTTCAAATAGAGTCAGCCTTAAATTTCAGTGCACGCCAATTATGATGAAATCAGTCTCCTTGAAATTGAAAGCTATCACTTGCTGGGATCTTTGCTTAAGTAAAATGCGAATTATCTGTCGTTAGTCAACGAGGAAGCAACGCGAGAAGCACCTTTAGGTTATTATGGCGCACGAAGAATTGCCTAAAAGTTCACCCCCCTCCCCCCCCCCCCCCCCCCAAANTTCCCCCCCCCCCCCCCCCCCCCCCCACCAAAACTAACTGCTCATTTTGTAATTGCGTTTTCGTCAGGAGTTACCGTGCAAACGGTGCTCCACTTAAATCTCAAAAATATCCAGTTAGATTTATTGCTCAACGAAGTTCCAATAACACCCTGTCTCACTCATTCGCTAATTTGTAGTTTTTATCTATTACAAGTATCAATAGGAAATAGCTCCTTTGGAAATAAATCTATACCAATGCACTACAAGTGTAATTTCATGAACGTACGAAGTTCCGCTGCAATTCTTACGTAGTCAAACAACGGTGTGATTGAAACATGGATTTTAATAAGTGAACAACTTAACATGGGTGTTCTCAAGCCAAAGTTGAAAAGCTGAACTCTATGTTTGACGTGTTGTCTCTCTTCTTTTGGCGGTTGAAAATCTGTTTCAATTTCTTTCATTTTAACCTGAATAATCATTGCCTATGTAGAATATCTTCCAAATGACGACACTATCATATTTATATGAACAGTGACAATCTGAATATCATTATCCACTTGGCATTGGCTTTCTGATCAGAAAAAAGGCTCTTTCTCAAGGCCGACATAAGGCAGCGAAATAACTTGTGACATCATTTGGAACATCTTTGTAAAATTCTCTCCCCAAAATTAAAGTTGAAACCAAATCAGTTGACAAAAATGCATTTTGATGATTTGAGTTTTGGGCATATCACACATTCATTATATGAACAGGACAAGATTAAATTGAAATTGAATTAAGCTAATTTATTGTGAGGACTCAGATTCCATTGATTTTCTTATGAAATAAATCATTCGGAGTGGCGTCCAATTTGCTGCAATTTAGATGAAACACGTAGAGTTGTATTTTTTTCCATTTTTGGCATAAGCGACACACGATCATGACTCCCACTACGTCATCAAGTGTATCCAAATGCTCGGAACGGCTTTACCGCTCTCATCTCTATCCCTCAATTCAATATTCACCAATAAATCCGCTCTATTATAATGTTCATATTCTTTTGCATCTCCTTACTCCGCTGACTAGGCAGTGCGATTGTATAAATAATAACAAAATGGAGAATAATCAGTTCATTAAAGGAAGTACAATTTATAGTCATACTGACTTTAACTCTTTATTTAAAAAGTAATGCATATAAAGTTATTCTTTTGTTAAAATTTGATGTTTATGATTCGCATGCTCAAATTTTCTATTAAAATGAATTTGCTTAGCGTCAATTTATATGTATGAAATGTCGCCAAATGCAGCATTTGGGTTGGGGGTGGAGTGAGTGGGGGGGGGGGAGGACCTGTTGCCTGATTTGGACACTCAAAAATACTATTAAGTATTCATATTTGTATAATTTTTTCGCCATATTCATTTGATAACTTACTCAATTACCCAAGCCACAGAGCTACGACCACTCAGACTCAAGAAAACGAGAGTAAAGAGAGGCATGTGACCCAAAGAAAGGTTCACTATCGTAGAAATAGATGTACTTATCTTGAATTGGCTATTAGGTAAATCAATAGCTCACTGGGTAACAGGATAGTAATAACAATGAATTCTTTGCCGCTGATCTTACGCTTCCAAATGTGATTGATAGTTCCGCACATGAAGGATAAACTTGCGAGTGCACCTTGTGCACTCTTAGTGTCTTCAATCAAATGCACTGAAAATATTTAATTTTTCGTCCCAGCAAAACCTCCCCCCACTGTTTTGTTAAGGAAAATCTTAAAATAGAATCACGTCCTATCTTTCCACAATACTATCAACAAAATTGAATTTGAATTGAAATCGTAAAATATTACTTTCACTCTATTTTACTACGTGTTTCCGATTGAATAAAAATGCCACCTAACCCATTGGCCACATTTAGATGCGGTGAACAGGATCTGGTTAATATCAGCGCCCCTCCTATTCGCCTCATCATGGATGAATCAATATCAGAACCCTCAGTCGATTCTGCTGATCCCTTCTACTCTGGTTGGATGCCGCAGAATGATGTGGTCGTTCAGCAATCACTTCCAGCAAAGCAATCGAAAGCGCAACCCAAGTCAACCCTTATTCTGGCTGTCACTGGTGAGGAGGCTATTCGTGCAGAGATTCCTGTTATGGAACCTGGAATCATCATCTTTCCTGGACTCGAATTCACCTTCACAAATGTTCCTTGTAAGTTCAAAAGTATCCATATGTTAGCTTTGTTTCCAAACGCTTGACAATCTCGTCTGCTAAGTTGGAGGCAAATTCAAACCAATGAGTGACACGGTTAACTGCACCAGCTGAGTCCGGTTAATGAAATTCGAACTTCACACCCAATTGACCCCCACAATACTAGTCTGCTAATCACGGCTATTTACAAAGCACATTCCTAACTAGACTTAATTATTAACAGGTATTTCACAGAAATGTCAAGCTATTGTTTAAGCACAAACATGCTATTTTAGCACTTGAGTTTACAACATATTGCTACCCAGGTTGCTTAAACGCAATTTTCAATGCAGATTTTTCACTGTTTCAATATTTCATTCTGGAAATGTATACTAAACGAATTTTGTAGTATTCAGTCTCTCAGTCTGTGATACAATTAATTATTTATCTTTGATATTGCGGAAATATTTATTTATTTATTTTGAATGGCAGGCGTTTTGATAATTATCATTAGCCATTTAGCTGACCTTGGGCTTCACAGAGAGGAGGAGGAACATCAAAGTGACAAAAAGTTGATAGGGGAAGGGACAGAATAATGATTCACAGATGTAACAGAGACAGACAGACGGACAGACAAAAAAGCAGAGAAAAGGTTAGATGGGTATGGTGAAATGGTGGAAAATGACATACACTGGGGTCATGGTAGTTTGAAGTGAGAAGTCAACTGCCGGTTAATAGACTTTTTTGCCACATGAGTATACGTTGCCCAGGGTGCACCACATGGAGGTAAGTCTATCCTCCACCCCATATTGGGGAAATATAATTCCAAGTTAGACGTTGCTGATGAAAGTAGAGAAACCTTTTCACCTGCCGAGGCAAATAACACAGAAAACATTGACATATCACCTGACCCACTGTCTCAAGGAAGACCTACTGGTCTGATTTGTGTTGTGTATTACAAAAAAGTACAAAATTAAACGTTGAGTAGAGACGGTGTGGGGGAAGCAAATGAATTCAAATAAAAGTTTTTTAATAATTGAATAAGAAGAGGTGTTCAAGGTATCAATGACTATTACTTTATGGGTCTTGGAGTTAGAGTTGTACAATGTTTATTGAATGGTCA